TAATCCAATAAATTATAAGACTTTTGTAACACCGCGTAACTTGATCATAATTCACTTTGAACACTATTAATAAATTAATATCATGGTATTTTATCCTGAATTTTTTCAATTATAACTAATTTCTTAAAACATTAATTATAAACTTTTACTCCAAGCAAAATATATACTTATAATGAAAAGATTAATGATTTTATTTTAGAAAATAATTGAAAGGATGTAAAGAAATCTAAATTGATGACATAAATGAAAGTTTATTACACAACGATTAACGTAAATGATTTTGTCGCCACACATATCGGAATTTTTGCCATCATTTTGATGAAACAAATCTTTGTCTACATTTGTTATATTATTGTTTCTATTATAAATTAACAATGTTTTATTTCTCGATAAAGTTTCTATAAGCTAAATAAAAGCACTTTTAATTGGTTTTCATCAATAATAAAAATAAATAATAACATAGTTGTTATATTTAGAGATAGAAACTAAATTTTTTATTTAAAAACTATTGAAATTAATTAAAAATAATTAATCCTTATACGGATTTTATAAAAGAATTTAAATAATAAAATATTTATAAATGTTATCAAAAATTTTTAAGATATTAACAGATATTAGTTGCATGCTAGCCCTTAAACTTATTACATATCCAAATATTAGTTTTTGAAAAGTGGAGTCAATTATCATTAAATATACAGTATTCTGTTTAAATTAAATGCAAAAGTATGTTTAACATTTGCATAGAAATAATTATTTTGCGTACAATTAGCCTATTAATCGATGTACTATTTAAATATCTGGCTTTGGATTTATAAATAGATTACTCTTCCAGACATTATATCCAATGATTTACAGATTAAGGTATCGCTGAACTTGTATTTTAACAACTTTTATAGTTTGCATAACAATTCCTTTACCTGTATATTGTAATAGCGTTAAAATGCAACAGATCTCAGCTCTTATGACACGTTTACGCAAATAATTGCATTCAAGTAAATTGATTATTAAAATAACGAGAAATATTTTTTGGGTATATATTTAGATTTTCTTATGCGAAGGTGAGTTAATGGGATAATATTGAAAAGTTGCTATTATTGTTAATTAGGACTCATTTGTGTTATTAATTGTTGGTATAAATAGTTTGGTCACAAACTCTCCCTTAAGCACAAATGCCCACACGTTTCCCAATTTACTTGATGATTGTCATTAATTGATGACTTTTACTTCAATTTGAATGTGACTTTAATTATTGAATAGTAATTATGTTTATAATTAAAGTTAAATAACTTGAAATACATTAAGTTTATACAATATAGTGATAAATCCTGAGCTAAATCTTATTGCATATAAAAATATATTTATCATAAAAATATAATGTTTAACATATCGTAATAGCTTTATATTAATAAAATACATAACACTAGTAATAAAATTAATAAATGTAAAAATATTTTTATATATTAAATATAATAATTAAATCATGATTTATAAGTTTGATATATGAGGATTAAATAGTGATAAAAATTTTTAATTAACATAATAAATGTATTTGAATATATCAGTAGATCTGAATGTCACTCATTCTTATCTCACACAGAATTCACACAAATCTTAAACGCTTTAAACTTGTCGATGATTTCATCTTTTTGTATAATATCTCCAAATTCCTTATGCTTTCGTTGAACACAACTGTGGACCAGACCTCTAGTCTTCTCACTCTTGCAAAGAGATCTCTGTATCTCATCTCTGGTCAGTGCGTTCGGTAGCGCCTCATAGATACACGAATCCATTGCCTCTAAAACCTATAAATTGTGTGTTTAAAAAGCATATATTACTTTCAAATGTCATAAAACATAGAGTAATTTATTTATTAATTACCAAAAACGGCAAGTGCTCCTCCATGCAATCTATTAGCTTATCCTTTGATTCTTTAGATACAGTTTTATCTACGAAAATATAAATACATTTTTCAAAGATTATTATCGCAAAGAATTTTTTAAACCATTCAATAAATCGTTATTTTCAATAGAAAGAAAAATTAGGTTAAAAAACACACACACCATAGCTTCGGACAGGTAGTTACTGCAGGTATGTCTGACTCTCTAACCGTTAGTCTATTTTAATGAATAGGACTCTGAAAAGTCTGTCTATCAATCATTTTCAAGGATAACGATTAGTGCAGATATTTTTCCATTCCCTTACATTCAACTCAACTTTATTATTATTTTGCTTTCGATTAAGTAATTGTTATATAAGTAAAAGTTCCTTCACTTGTAATATTAATTTTTCTTGTTTACAACAAACCATTGATTAAATCTGAATTAAAGCTCATATTTCACTCTCACTCCTATCACTTGCATTGTACTTAAATTATTAAACACTGTTTAATCTGCCGCTCGGTATGGCTCAGTAGGTGTCGGCGCTCACTATCGCTTTCCGCAGACTTTTGGGATTTTAAAAAGAAAATCCATTTCTCGAGAATAATAAAAATGCAAACTTTTACCTACATTTCAAATCGCATTACGACTGCTATTCACTCTCACTGTGTTTGTACATCTGAATACCGCTTATTTGAATGATTGACTAAATTATATACTTTTAAAATTATATTTTTCACTGCAATTAGTTTTAACAGCGTTTTTGGTATCACTTCAATAATAGAAAAGTTAGAAAAAGTTGTAATTTTTGTTTGTGAGGCCTAAACCCCTAATTCTATTTCTTGAGGCAATAAGCAGTGCTACTCATCTAAAAATGTTTGGGACCCATACCTAATGGTTGTAATGAATAGCTGTAAATCATTACCCCTCGCATCAGTCTCACCAGCATTTGGGTCTATCCTTGAGAGCGAAAAAAAGTTCAGTATATCAGCACAAGTCAGTACAGGTTCCCAACCAAATTGTTTCACAGAAAAAAGTTTTTTAACATTAAATTCCAAACAATAGAGTCATTCAGACAACAGAGAAAGTGATGCCTCTTTTTACTAGAACTCTCTCTCTCTCTCTCTCTTACCGCATAACTTCTTCTCAACCATTTCTATCTCTTCATTGCTTACGATCTCGTCTTTGGCGGAAACCATAAAAACTATTGAAAAGACAAACACAAGTTTGAAGCCAAAACTCATGTCTCCGTTAGGCCTACCAAACACTTTATGGCAAACTATGTGAAAGTCAGATGTCTAAACTTCGAAAATAAACTAACTTTAGATTGGCTTTGTAATGAAAATATCGAGTGCCTTATATCGTTTATATTCCGTTCCGATAAGAAATGTTAACAAAAATTCATAATAAAACTAAAAACGCTTATTTAAATAAATATTTCATTTTGCAAATATTATTTTTGACAATATAAAGCTATTCAATGTATAAATAATCAAAGTTTACATATCAGACAATTCATAAAATAAAATTCTGTTTTGTTTACTATTTGTCTAAAGTAATATTTTTAGCGTTTATACACTTTTTTAATACAAAAACTCCTATACAAATGGCTATCAATTTTATTCATCAATTCATGTCTGAAGCCAACCTCCAACTTGTAAGCGCTCTATAGTTTCGTTTGAAACCCAATATATCGCCAAATATTGATACTATAATTGTATCGCACTTTCAAACAATCCTGAATAACACTTTCTAAGCACTTGTATGGCATAGAAGTTGTTTAAATGCATAAATTAGTCGGACTTGGAGTCAGTTATTTAGTTAGGAGTCGACAAGAATTGATATGAAATTAGTGGCACTTGTATCTACAGATTTGAAGCTTTTATTTGATTGAAATCTAACCGAAACATTACTTTTATAGCTCACGGAATATAGCAAATATAAGGCAAGGCTATTCTTTACAATTGTTTTTAAGTATTATTTTGATTTTTTGCTTATTTAAATAAATATTTCATTTTGCAAATATTATTTTTGACAATATAAAGCTATTCAGTGTATAAATAATCAAAGTTTACATATCAGACAATTCATAAAATAAAATTCTGTTTTGTTTACTATTTGTCTAAAGTAATATTTTTAGCGTTTATACACTTTTTGAATACAAAAACTCCTATACAAATGGCTATCAATTTTATTCATCAATTTATGTCTGAAGCCAACCTCCAACTTGTAAGCGCTCTATAGTTTCGTTTGAAACCCAATATATCGCCAAATATTGATACTATAATTGTATCGCACTTTCAAACACTCCTGAATAACACTTTCTAAGCACTTGTATGGCATAGAAGTTGTTTAAATGCATAAATTAGTCGGACTTGGAGTCAGTTATTTAGTTAGGAGTCGACAAGAATTGATATGAAATTAGTGGCACTTGTATTGCACAGCAAGTGCTCCGACAGTGCAAGTGGAAGGCGCGCGAAGTGAAAACAGTGCCACCGACTCACTGGGACTGGTAGGCACTTGGACTGGTAGGCACTGGTAGTGGGGTTCAAGACAAAAGGGGATGGAGGAGAGAGTGGAGAGAGAGAGAGAGAGAGAGAGAGAGACCGCAGGTTTGCAATTACCAGAGAGTCTCGGATCTAAACAAAAGCATAACAATTGTTTAGAAAGTAAAGCAAAGGCCTGAGGGCTGAACTCATACCTAATATTTAATCTATAAATTTATGCTTTTGAATACTATTTGTTCCCCAAATTGAGATCAAAAATAGACTTTCATGTAATATATTTTTAAAAACACAAAACAACAAAACATTAGTTCTTGAAGTCTGTATGTTATTTGGTATTAGATTTCTGTATAATTTTTATCTGTCGTCCCATAACTGTAATGAATACCTGAATGAGAATCTTATTCCCCAGCATTTAATACCCCAGAGTTTGTTAGCAAAAATATAAGTGAAACACATTTCACTCTGAACTCAATTATTAGCGAAAAATATATTTTTTATAGTTTAGTGGAGAGAGAAGTGGTGGTCGTATAGAATAGCAGTTATATTAGGGCCTCGAATAACATAACCACTCCTTTGCTGATAATCAGTGCCTCAATGGACTGACTGACTGACTGATGGGACCTGAATGAGACTCATGCAGTTGCCTGGAAACTGGCATCAAATACAACCAACCACTCACTCCACCGCTCATACCATTCACGCCAAACCATTTTCATACCATTCCTCGCCTTCTCTCTCACTCATAGACCCTATTCTTGAGAGTGGAGTGAAGTTTCACTTTTTCCTCACTGACTCCAATCGCCTACAGTTTGTTGTGATTTGCAGACATTCCTCAGCTTTATTTCACTCGTAAAACCTTTTTTCCGATATAACAGACACTCATTGAAAACTTTTTTAAAGATTGACTTTTATATAGAATTATGTTTTATTAACTCGTTTTGTGAATTGAATCTCAAGTGAAACCATGAAGTTATACAAACTGACCGGTAAGTGATTGACTCTATGTTTGCTCATAAGATACTCAAGAATTATTACTTTTTATGTGAATATTGTATAACTTTTGTAATATTCACGACTAGATATTATTTTTGTATAAAAGATTTAAATTTCTATTAAGATTTCTTATGGATTTTGCTTTAAATTACATTTCATGAGACATTAAACAGTTATGAGTTCTGTTAATATTGCGATATTAATAATAAGTCTTATTATTATTCATCAAAACCTGATTTGAAGCATATTTTATGTCCGAAGATATAAATGCAAAGAGATATCGGATCTCGAAATACACTAAACAAATGGTATTCGAGTTTCGAGTTTGATATCAAAAGAAACCGAAAAATAGGTGTTTATTAGTGTTTTGGCTAAACTCTAAACTCTGTAATAGCTTTTCGGTGCTAACCTTGAATTGGGCTTCAAATGCATGGCTTCGTAAAGCTTTCACATAAAAAAAAGTTTTTCAGACTAAACCCGAAGTTCGTAAGACTTGTGTGTATTTCGAGCCTTTGTTATCTCTATAACTTATTTTCAGTTTTGCATTAATTAATCTGAAACACGAATTTAATAACTTTTATATGAACTAAATTTTGGACAAAATATCCACTTTTAGATTGTTGTGCAAATAATCTGCAGTTTAAACACTAGATTTATCTCTCGGTTTTATAACTTGTATGTGTAATAAATGAATCTCACATTTGAATAGAGAAACTCATTGCAAATCTTCATTGAATTTCACATCACATACGACGAGATATTTGAGTTGAAATATATTTAAACAAATGATGCGTTAAATGTACTTCACTTTTATTATAGATTCCGTAATAATCATGTAATTCAAGAGGTTTAGTGTTTGCATTTCCATGTGAAGTGTATTTGTGGTGAAAATCTAATCTTTTTTTCTCAATTCATGTTTTCGGAGCGAAAATAGTTTTTAATGATAAATAGTGTGTTTATTATTAGCATAACATTAGAACTAAAATAATAGAAAAAATTATGAAATCTATTAATTAATCAAAAATAAAACAATATTATAAATCACTTTTAATGTCAGTTCACAGAAAATTCAATTAATCTCATATACGGTACAAATTAAACCGAAAATATGTATACATTTTTGTGTGAATTTGCATTCAATTGAAATGTATTTCTACGCTTTCAATGTCATAATAATTTGAATAAATATTATTGTTTTACAACTTTATTTCGCATAAAATTAATGTTTTTATTATGAATTTTAAAAGCTTGTAGAACATGGGAATGATTGATTTTAATTAATTGAAATATTTTCATTTTGTTCATGCATTTAATTCTCATAAAACACATAATTAGTGCAATTTCTTTAAATTCAAGTTCAGTTCATTTGAATATTAATACAAATTCATAATTAAAGAAATGTTTTGTATTATTATTTGTATTTAAATATACAGCATTATTAGATTAAAATCTAAGCCATTGTTTTTAAAAAATAAAAGCTTATCATTAAATGTGCTTAAATTATAATAAATTTATTAGTTACAATATCAAACTGAATCACAAAATTGTTTTCATTATAAAACAATTCTCTATTACAATAAATATTTGCCTTAAACTGAGAGACAGCAACATTCACTGAACTTTTAAATAGTGTTTAATAAAATATTTAATATAAATATGTATAATGTATATAAAATGGATCAAAATTTGTTTGTTTTAGAAGTAATAGTCTATCTCAACATATTTTGCACGATTTGTACGGTTTGGGCGCAAACAGTAAATAATGAACATCGCATAAAATTAATGTTTTTATTATGAATTTTAAAAGCTTGTAGAACATGGGAATGATTGATTTTAATTAATTGAAATATTTTCATTTTGTTCATGCATTTAATTCTCATAAAACACATAATTAGTACAATTTCTTTAAATTCAAGTTCAGTTCATTTGAATATTAATACAAATTCATAATTAAAGAAATGTTTTGTATTATTATTTGTATTTAAATATACAGCATTATTAGATTAAATCTAAGCCATTGTTTTTAAAAAATAAAAGCTTATCATTAAATGTGCTTAAATTATAATAAATTTATTAGTTACAATATCAAACTGAATCACAAAATTGTTTTCATTATAAAGCAATTCTCTATTACAATAAATATTTGCCTTAAACTGAGAGACAGCAACATTCACTGAACTTTTAAATAGTGTTTAATAACATATTTAATATAAATATGTATAATGTATATAAAATGGATCAAAATTTGTTTGTTTTAGAAGTAATAGTCTATCTCAACATATTTTGCACGATTTGTACGGTTTGGGCGCAAACAGTAAATAATGAACCACCGGTGCCCGTACTGTCCGGAAATACCGAGACCTTAACCCATGCGATGACACAAACGCCCAAATCAACAGTTTTCGAGACTACACATTATGATAGTAAATAAAATTTATTGTATTATCATTTTATATTAGTCTAATTCTAATATAACGTGATTTTATTTAAAACTAGATTCAAATCCAATGAATACAAGTCCGGAACCGACTTCCAACGAGAATTCGTTTAAATCTAAAGACATTACAACTGAATCCTCAACGACTGAAACAAATAAAACTGAATTCATTGATAATCACAGAGAAGTGGCGGGGAATACAGAATCCGGAAGTTTGAGTTCAAAAGCAACAACTATTCATAATTCAGATGTTCCGCAAACTTCTGTTTTGCCAATCAATGAACCGATTGCCCCAACCGTTACCCCAACTCCAGTGGAAATGGCATCAAAAGAACCGAAGACTTTGAGTTTTGGT